CCAGGGATAAGGGGCTCATAAGAAACAAAAACTGCAGACACTTTGACCTTGGACTTCTAGCATTCAGAATTTTGAAAAAATACATGTTTTATTTAAGCCACCTAGTTTGTAGTATTTTGTTACAGCTGCTCTTGCAGCAAACACACGTATGGGTTAGGCAGAAAGGCTCAAGGGAGTCATACAGACATGTTCCCTGTTCATAATCTGAGGTGAAAACGGATATTCCCCAGCACATACAAAGAAAGGTACATGGACCTGAGAAGCTAAACTGAATTTCTTCACTATCTAACAAAAGTCTTACAGCTTATGTTATTAAATAGCAAAAGGGGAAAAAAATCTAATATTTCGTCTCCAAATCCTCATATATACCACTATTACTTATTATTAAAGGGAAGGTGAAATTTAAAGTCATAAAAGTGAGAATTTAAGAAAGAAAAAGTAAAAAATATATACTGTCTATAAAATTAAATACTAATTAGCTTCATTCATTGAAAATATTCCAGTTTGACACACATTACCTGGGAAGTAGGGTGTCCCAGAGATAGACCATTATGCATAATTTAAGCTTTTGGCCACATCTCTTGAGTGATTAACTTGTAATAGAATTCAAAGGTTCTTCCCTATTACATTAGTATTTTAAAACACAATTGTAATGGAAGAGAAATTGCCAGAGTGAAATAAATACTATTGATTTTTTGAAAAACATTTATTTTTACTAAATAATAAAAGTATATGAGAAACTCTTACAGGCAGTGGTGGAGGAGTTTCAATATGACATTTCACTTTATGACTTATCTGTAGTCAAAAGTAGGAATTTTCAAATACAGTGCACAGAAAGTTAAATGTAGTTTTATTTCAATAATGCAGCCTCGAGTTTTGTTAGTTAACTCCATTTGTAAATGTGTTTCAGAAGTCAAATTTTAAACATGAAAAATATTTTATTGCTAGACTTATTTAACGTTTTAAGAATACAAACTTGAGGCTATATTATAAGAATGATTGGAATAAGAGTGAGATTCATAAAATGCACATTTCTAGGGTTCTCAAAGTGAATAACAGAGTGATTCAAAATGGAAAGTATCAAAGGGAATGACAGATTGAAGGCAGAAGCTTTCAAAGTGAATCCTGAAACAAAAGCAAGTCAGCTGAAGACAGTTCTGTGGTCAACAAATTATCAAGTTGGACTGCTTGCCCTGTGTAATTTCCCAATGTCCGCAACTAGATAATAAAGGCATCTTAAATATAGAAACTAAAATATTTTATAGCAAAAAGAAAGTGTATATATATCATATATATGATATATATATATCATGCAATATTTAAAAGACAGTTGTCTTAATGTTAAACAGAGATGATGGGTTTCAGATTTAGATTAGAAATTTTGGACTTTGAGCTGATGCTTTAATGGAATGAAAGACAAGAACTTCTTGTTCAAGCATAAAATATATGAAGCCATGCAAATGATTGACCTATAACTATATAAAGAAAACTGGACTTTACAAACATATAAGTGGAATAAAATCAAATTACAGAAGATTTTTAGGGCATGACACTATATAAAAATTAATTACAAAAATTAAAAGATTATATTTTCAAAGATAGCTAATATTACTTTATATATATATAGTAAAATTCTATATGTCAAAAGTTAAAGTCAACAAAATGATAAACCCAAATAGAGGGTAGTGTTTATTTGGGGGGAAAAGCAGAGTGATGAGACAGTGAAGGAGTGCATAAAACCACAAGTAAGACGTTGTTAATGACGAAGTTCATAAGTGGAGAGATGAGTTCCAAGATGACCCTTGATGTTATGCTTTTTAACTTATGTGTTACAACTATCATTTTGTCATTTCAAATTTTAAATAGTCACTGATTCTTAAGATAGACATATGGGTTCAACTGCAGTGCTACTTACTGGTAACTCCAGCAAGAAACTCTTTTTTTTTGTCCCGTTTGCACATTGAGGTTAATGCCAGTAACATGTTAGTTTATGTTAATCATCCTTCCACATAGTAAGCTCTAGGTGATGGTAAATTTTATTATTGTTAGTGATTCTTGCCTGATGCTCAATACCCATTCCATTTTCTCTCTTTTCTTTTTTTAGTTGGAGGTACTGGGGATTGAATCCAGGACCTCATGCATGCTGAGCACTCATTCTACCACTGAGCTATTACCCTCCCCCACCCCCCAGTCTTAATTCTCTTTGCTCTTGCATCATAATGTGTGCATACTGTTGGGAGAGATTTCTTCCCTTACATTTTCTGAGAAAAGTCATTAATGGCTTTTTTGTTTTTACTGTCTTTTCAAGGATGTTCACATAGAAAATATCCTTGAAAGATAGAAATAGTGATTTCCTGTGAAGCTGAGGATAAATTTGATTGTTGTCCAAGACAATACAGATGATGTATTTTGGGACACTGTTGGACAAGTTTGCTGGTGGTCCTTATAAAAGGTTAGGATTTCCTCTAATCCTTCCTTGGGTTCCTCTCCAAGGTACCCCAATGTGTGCCCAGGCCCTCGTATGTCATACTGTGAGGCTTGGGGAACCAAAAGCAATGATTGTACTCTGGCTACTGTTACTGCAGTAATAAACTGCCCTTCATCTTGGAGCCAAGAGGTTTGTTTTTCTACCAATATCCATGGAACTGTGGCAGGCCAACTTATCAGCTTGCCAATAGGGTAAAAATCTTAAACTCTTTACAGTTCTGAGCAGTTCTGATTACAAAGATGTGATAGTGACAGAGACATGTCTTTCTGGAAAAGAAAGACAAAGACCTCCCTTGGAGTAGATTAATGGGTTTTGAAGGAAGTCCTTGAGAATATGTAGAAAATTTATTGACCAAACTGCATGGTCCATCAGGCAATAAATTCTCCTCTGTTCTGCTTGTTAATGAGGAGATGGTTGCAAACTAAGTACTAGGAAGGAGATTTAAAGAGCTGCCTGGATGGTGGCCTGGTTGCTGCTCACTTTCTTCTGGGTTTGTGCCAGGGTTGGGGGAAAACTAGAGATGAACAGCAAACAGATCAAAACCAAAGTATCGACAAATAGATCAGCTATTGATATGTTGCATGCCAAAAATAGTGCATTGTGTTACTGAAAAGGACAACTGAAGGCAAGTATTGAGAACATTTGCATGATTTTAGACTTTGTGCTAGACACAGCATACAGAGAAGTTTAAGCAGGGAAGTGAATAGTTTTGTTTTTTTTTTAATTGAAGTGTAGTTGACTTACAATGTTAGTTTCAGCTGTACAGCAAAGTGATTCAGTTATACA